GAACATCAGAGCTCAAGCAATCCACCCTGCTGGGCCTTCCAGTTTGTTAAGATTACAGGAGTGAGCCACCACACCTAGCATTTTGTTGTGTATAAGGTTTTTAGTTAATTTCACAATAATAAATTGTCATATACAGTATTATGGGGTAAAAAGTATATATATATATTACATTTATACTCTGAAAATAGATTATATATATTATATTTATGTATTTATATATATATATATCAATACAATATGTAAAATATTTGGTTGAACCTTGCTTAAATCTTTTATTTATGATTTTGATCTCATCTGAAATTTTTGTACCGGTCATGTTTACCTCAATAGACGTTTTAATTTCTTTATAGGCTTTGCTGTGTATATATCTAAAAACATGATTAACAGCAATTCTGTCCTATATCACAGACATATTTTTTGACATATAAACACTTTTGTCTATTTTAGCTAGAATTTTCCCTTTATTCTACAGTCTCTTCAGAGAAAACAAAGTGAATGTTGATATTTTAAAGGTATCAACAAACAAGTACAGTATTCCCCCAGAAATCTGAACACCCCAGAATTCAAGCAACCTGGAATCTGGATGAAAAATTCAAGCAAATTTTGCCAGAAATTCGAATGCTACTTTGGAATCTGAACATGCAACATGTCGTTAGTATATTTTTGTGCGTACCTTTCCCCAAAGATTGGGCCACCATACACTTTGTCATTCAGTTCATTATTGGAAGCTGCAGTGAAAGCATCTCGGGTAATTTTCACTGCTAACTTTATTTTTTTTCTTGCCATTATTTTCTATATAATAAAAACTAAGTGTATTCATCATGAGTCCTAAAAAGTGTAGTGAGGAAAATAAGAGGAAAACTTTAGCACTACAATCAAGTGATACACATGTGGCTGATCCTTCTATTATGTTCAGGATGCATAAATCGACCCTACGATTTTAAAAAATAAAGAAGCTATCAAAGCAGCTGATTTGGTGAAAAGGGTTAATACACTGACCTCTGGGTCAGAGGTTCTCAACCTGTGGGTCGCAACTCCTTTGTAACAATGAAAATACATCCTGTATATCACATATTTACATTACGATTCATAACAGTAGCAAAATCACAGGTATGATATTTACATTACGATTCATAACAGTAGAAAAATCATAGCAACGAAAATAATTTTATGATTGGGCGTCACCACAACATGAGGAACTGTATTAAAGGGCTGCGGCATTAGGAGGCCTTAGGAAGGTTGAGAACCACTGCCCAGGAGATCGAAAAGTATGAAAGAGATGGAAAAACTTCTCTTAGTTTGGATTAATGAAAAATGGCTATGTGGTGATGTGATTTTTGAGATGATAATTTGTGAGAAAGTCCTCCAGGATGATTTAGTAAAGGGCATCCCTGATATTAGTGCTTAAAAGGAAGAGTTTAAAGTTAGTAGAGGGTGATTGGAGAACTTTGAGAAAAGTACTAGGATCCATAGTGTTCTATGCATGGAGAGGCCGGCAGTTGTAATCTGGAAGCAGCAGGAAAATTTCTAAAGGACTTTAAGGAGTTTGTGAACAGTAAGGGGTATTTTTTGAACCAAGTGTTCAATTGTAATGAAACAGCCCTTTATATTTTTATATTTTTAGTTTTATTAATTTATATTTTTATTCAAATATTATTATATGTTAATATTTACCTTAAAATCCAGTGTATTTACTGTTAAAATCATTTTAAAAATTCAAGTTTATGGGACCCAGGAATGGATTAACTTAGTTCCTATTATTATAAAGCAAA